GGTCCTGCGGATTCTTGCGATTTAGTAGGATGGTTCCTTACTTGTCAAGGAAGGCTCGACGTTGTTCTTTTGACTGGGCCACCAAAAATTCTAGTTTGGCTGTCTTCTTTTAGCATCACGTTATGAGGTGCCAAAGCAAGGATCATAACGATTCCTCGAACTTCTGCAATTAGATTTTGTTCTTCTTGGAATATTTTTGGACGTACGATATATCTATTTTCGGACCCGCTATCAGTAGCGGTCCGACTTACCATGTCTTTTTCCATATGAAGCTTGGTATTGTATCGATTGCACATGTCATTCTAGGTTATTGGTGGAAATTCCTGCAAACTTTCCTTCAGTCTTCTTATGGCCTTAGAAATTCTATTATTTAAATTCTTCACAAAGGCTGTTGCCACCCAATTATCAAGAACATGCGGTAGCAATATACTTTCTCTTTGGAATTTATTAACAAATTCTTGGAGTAGCTCAATGTTCTTTTTTCAAATTTTGAAGATGTTTTTCATTAAATTTTCAACTTTTTGTGCTCCAATATATGCCTTAACGAAGGTTTTTGCAAGCTTATCAAAAGAGCTTGTTGAATTTTTGGAAAGAAGAGAAAACCAGGTTAATGCATCTTTTATGAGTGTTTCTTCGAACTTCTTCACAAGCACCTGTTCAATCTCCAATTTTATCAAATCCTTTCCTTTAACTCCGGTTGTATATTCTATGAAGTGATCTTGGAGATCTGGTATTCCATCATACTTCGGTATATCATACATCTTTAACTTTGATAAATTCGGCACCGTGTTAACACTTGGCTTCTATCATTGTTGAGAATATTTATCCCATGTCAATTCTTTTGACAACAAGAGGAACTCTGAAAATTTGCTCTATTCGTTCATTCTTCTCCTTAAGCTGTTTCAACAATGTTAGTACCAAATTCTATAAATTGGAATTGTCGGTCATACCTTATCCTCTAGCTCTAGAATCATTTGGGAGTTCTCCAATATCGAAACCTCGGGGCATTGCAGTCGAAATGGACAAGTCCAATCTTGGTGTTGCCGGTGAATGTACACCTACATTTGCAGTCAAGGCTAGCATAGCCTCGTTGACTCCAAATCCTTTGTTGAGCCATAAATTCTACTAGTTCTCGGATGCTTCACTGGCTTAGTCCTTTGAGGTGATGGTCCCCTGGAACTATTTGGGGAGGG